CAGATAGGAACTTTGATCTTTCTTACAAGGTTTCTGTAATCTTATTCCATCCACTATGTAGGATGCTTTCCCACACCAAACCACCAGTAAGTTATCTAGAATCATTGGCATGAGATTAGCGATAAAGATAGAATTTGGATCACAAGATTGTTATAGCATGGTCCATACTTCTCTGTACTTGGTATGATTTGTACATTATGTGGACAGTAAGATTGAACGTTCTGATTAACTCCTTGCTTCTAGGTGCTTGAATTTTTTGTGATAAGGACAAGATAAGTGGTTTTTGAATTTTTGGGGGTTTTTAGAATTCTGTAGTCTCTGTCAGAGGTTGGAAATGGATGACAGGAAAGGGATCACTTGATGGTTATCTGTTGTGTTCTCTCCCTCTGGGGAATCTGGCATTGGGTACTGTTGGAAGACAGGATACTAGACTAGATGGACCTTTGATCTGACCCAGTATGGCCATTATGTTCTTAAGGGGGACCCTGACATAGTAGAGGGGGAACAAACACCTGAATCTCCTCCACCAATATCCATATCTTCCTTCTCACCCGACGACACCATCAGGTATCCACCCCTTATGTCAGAGATGATTTTAAGTCCTTTCAGGAGTTGTATGCAAGAGTAGTAGAATCCTTGGAAATCCCAGTGGTAAACTTACTGTAGAACCAACATAGGCTAACAGGTATTCTCCATGTCTCTCCCAATGCCAAGTTAACCCTGCCCATAAACCCTACATTCCTGGATCTGGCAAAAACTGTATGTCAAATCCTGGTCATTATATCTCTATCTTGTAAAAGGTTGGACAAAAAGTCCGATGTGGCACCACAAGGCAACAAATTTTTTATTTTCATATCCTATCCCAAAATCCATAGTTGTAGATACTGTGAACCAGAGGGCCAAACAACAAGCAGCACAAACAACACCTTACGACAGAGATTGGAAGACGTTGGATTTTCTCCATCTAAAATCATGCTCCTCAGCTGCTCTCCAACTGCAGACTGCTAATTATGCAGTGCTGCTGGCTCAATACACCCACAAAGTATTTTAGCAAATTATATTTTTTATTGAGCACTTTCTGGACAATAAACGTGAGCAATTTAAGGCTAATATTGACAAGGGAGTGCTTATCTCTCGGATGCTCTAGAAGCTGCGCTTAATTCAGCAGACGTAGCAGTTCAGTCCATTTCTACTTCGTGTCATGTGACGGGTATGTTGGCTGCAACTGTCTGGGTTTTCCAGGGAGGCCCAGGCCAGTGAAGAAGGCTTGCCCTTTGAAGGGTCAAAGTGTTTCACAGATTCCACTGATGACTCCCTCCATACTCTATAAAGAGTCCTGATCCACTTTTAAAACTCTGAAAATCCACTTGCCTGTGACGAGAAGAAAATAAGGTTGATTTTTCAGCCAGAGATACAAACCAACACCATTCACGCAGCCACAGAGGCATTATAAGTGCAGACAGCATCTATGTAGACAAAGGCAATAGGCTGAAAGTCATCGGCCTCTCAACTTTGTGTCTCACCTTCGGAAGGGTTGGTTGAGGGTCAGACAACCCCAAATTTTCCAAGGCATCATTTAAGTTTCCCACACCATTTGGGAACAGGCTAGCCTCCTTATTATCAAGCACAGAAAATTACCATGGAGAGATGGGTGCTAAAAATAGTGTGAACTGGTTACTGTATCCCCTTTTCAATTAGTCCCCTACCCATCCCTCTTCAGGGACCCCTCTCCTCTCATGAAGTCACTCTCAACTGGTTCATTTGCATGCAACATTTCAAGATGGTGGCTCTAGCCACTATGATCCCTGCCTTGGAAAAAGACTGGTTTTTCTAATCTGGACCTACAGACCCCATGCTTTCATATTTTTACATACCCTGAACACAGATGTTACCTTACGTTAGTTTTTCACAATTACCAGTTCAATACAGTGCGCTCCTGTTCAGGCTCTCCCCGGCCCCTCGAGTCTTCTCCGAGGTCCTAGCAGTGGTGGCGGCACATCTGTGCAGAATGGGAATTGTCATCTTCCCATACCTGGACAATTGTCTACTAAAAAGCCCTATTTACAATGAGACAGAAGGAGCTGTCACCATCACCAGAGCCCTGTTCAGCTAAACCTCCAGAAGTGCACTCTGGCTCCCACTCACCTCTTGAAGTCCCTAGGCACTCATCTAAATTACACATCAGTGACAGCATCACTTCCACTTCAAGTCTACAATGGTTGTAAATTTCTGATTTCCTTAGTACAGAGCAGCCCATGGGTTACAGCAAAACATTGCCTCTAACTCTTAAGCCATATGGCTTCAGCTATCTTTGTGGTCCCACAAGCATTTCTCTGCACAAGACCATTACAGTCTTGGCTATGCACAATATACAGACCACATGTTCACCATATACACATCTCTCCATGCCTTTCAAGATAAAGGAGTTGTCATTCTGGTGGACGATCCAGGACAACTCCTGCAGAGGAGTAACTTTGATCTGACACCTCTGTGCATGAATATTACTACAGACACATCTCTAATTGGATGGGGAGCCCATATCACCCACCACTCTATACAAGCACGATAGTTTCAAGAGGAATTCAGGCTACACATCAACCTCTTTGAACTTGGAGCAGTCCGTAATGCATGCCAACACTTTCTTCCATTGATTCAAAACAAAACAGTACAGATACTGATGGACAATCTTGCAACGCTGTTTTACATAAACCATTACAGCAAAGCATGCTCTTATCTTCTGTGTCTAGAAGTGGCTCAGCTATGGGAATGGTGCATTCCATGCAGCATCCATCTAATAACAGCCTCCCGGGCAGACAGTATCGTTGCTGACAAATTCAGTAGACATTTTTGCACTCAACCATGAGTGGAAACTCAATTCCAGCATGCTAGATACTGAATTCAAACGCTCGGGGTATCCCACTGTAGACTTATTTGTGAACATCTCAAATACCAAATTCCCCTTATATTACTTCAGAGCAGGTGTTGGTCCTCATTTCTTGGGGGACACATTCACAATAAAGTGGGTTGCGCCCCAACTGTGTGCATTTCCAACCTTCCTGCTACTGCAATAAGTAATAATCAAAATTAAACAGGACGGAGCAAGGGTGATTCTAATGGCATGCCACTGACCCAGATAGACCTGATTCCCTTACCTCCTTCACATGAGGTTGGTGCTTCCTTGATGCTTTCCACCTGTTCCCTGCCTCCTCACTGAGAACAGAGGACTGCTTCGTCCCAGTGCCCAACCCTACAGCTCCGAATGTGGCTCCTTGTTGGTTAAATCCACTCGAAGCAGCATGCACCACACCAGTGCAAGAGATCAGTCTACAACAGTTGCAGATATCTACAAGAAAAGTATATTTACATAAATGGCCCCATTTCGCTTGGTGTGACAAGCAGCATCTCACCCACATCAGCTGACTTTTCACAAATTCTTCAATACCTTATTCTCCTTAAGAACATGAGGGCTATCCCTTAGCTTTAAGAGGGTGCACCTTGCTGCAATTAAAGTACTCGACTCCATCCTACCCCTGCTGGAGATTACTCTGTGTTTGCTCACCCTAGTATAGAAACGCTTGTTAAGGGATTAAAAAAATTTCTGGCCAGTGAAGGACCCACCTCCTGCTTGGAACCTAAATCTAGTACTAAGGACAATAACATGCAAATCCTATGAACCCCTGATCAGCCACTTGCTCACTGCTACACCTGTCTATGAAAATGTCCTTTTTAGTGGCCAGCACCTCAGCACATAGAATGGGTGAGCGTGGGACCCTCATGACGCACCTTCCTTATGTTGTCTTCCACAAAGATATGGTCCTCCTCCACTGCACCCCAAATTCTTCCCATTGTAATGAACATCTGTATACTTAACCCTTTTCTTCCCAAGCCTCATACTAATAATGGGGAGGTAGCTTTCCATGCTTCACATGTCTGTAGGGCAATTGCCTTTTACTTACAAAGGACAAGACCTTTCTGGAGGTCTCTGAGACTCTTTGTCTCCACAGGAAGATTTCAGGCATGCCCATTTTGGAATAGACTGTCCAAAAGGATCTCTGGATGCAAACATCTAGCACATGTCATTTTCCATTAGGAGCCACAGCAGCCTGGGCCCACTCAACCTGGGCAATGGTAGCATCCATGGCTTGTCCACCTGGGTGTCAGCACATATTTTCACTAAGTGTTAGGCCATAGAGACCCTGCCGACACACAGTTCAGATGCACTGTATTATCTATAAGTCTGAGGGGTAGCCATATTAGTCTGTAATTTAAAAAAATTAAACAATAGTCCTGTAACATCTTAGAGACTAACCAAAAATATATAGACATAGCATCTATATATTTTTTTTGGTTTGTCTCTAAGGTGCTACGGGACCATTGTTGTATTATCTACAGTTAACCCACACAACCTTCCTCCCTCTGCTGCTTCATAATCACCTAAGGCGGAACACTCACTGTGACACTCTTCAAAGAAGAGAAGGTTACTCCCCTTGTGAAGAGAATAACTTCAGAGGAAAACCAAGATCAGACATGACGACTGGTGTGAGCTCTTTCTAGCCCACTCAATTGCAGACTACAGGAGAGTGTGGTCATGACTTACAGGTTGAGCACTTCAACGTTACAGCATTGTGATATCTGAAATCACTTTCCTAGTGGATTTATGATTTGCTTGTGTGATAGTTGAATAAAAATAAGAGAACATAGCTACATTTTAGAGTTTAAGATAACCAGATTTCAGCCTGTACAGCTCTGAAGTCCAGAATGGATTAATATGTTTTCATACAGTGAAAATAAAGCCAGTGTTAAACTTGGAGAACCTGTTAGTTTTTCACTTTTTTAAAATTTATTGGAACTAAAGCTTTGCAAGTATGTGTAGTTTACACTGCTTAGGGTGATTAATACTACTCCTGGCTACCGCAGAGTGTTGTTAAGCTTTATTACAGTCTTTTAAAGAGAGCTGTGTGGTGTAACTTTGCAAGTGACACTTCTCCTTTCTGCCTCAGGTTATTTCTTATGAGGGTAATGGACATACCATATCTCAATTTGGAAGGACCAGACTGTAAGTAATGTTTTCCTTTTGCCTTTATCTTGCTACTGTACTGGTTAAATATGTCCTCTGTAGAAGCAAATGTAAGACTGTATTATCTGATGGGTAGAATTTGAGATTTAAATTACATCTGAGCTCTATTCAGAATTCTTTAAAAGAACATTAATATACTGCTTGTCCATTTTATAAAAATAAAACAAAACTTAATCATCATTGTTACTTTGGAGGATTCGCAAAACACAGTAAATACTGTTTAAGAAGGGTTTTGACTAGATCAGTGTGAACTCTTTGTGGCACCAAGTTTAAGATATTTGAAGATAACAGCTTCAGTCATATTATATCATTTAATGTTTGCTTAAGTGAAGTAGCCCATCTTAAAGTGTCTAGTCTTAAAATAGCCTTTTTGTCTCATCTCTTACAGTAAGTAAAGGTTGAACAACAGTGTTCCCTCTAACATTTTCCATTCTTGGATGGGTTAAATTTTAAGCAGGTTGAAATTTCTTGTGTGCACGACCAATATTGAGGTTGTCGGTAGATGTGCAGTGTGTCCCACTACAAGCACAAAATTAGGTATAACTATATTTTTAAAAGTCCATAGGTATGGAAGACCATATAGACTTTAAGGTCAGAAGGGACCATTATGATCATCTAGTCTGACCCCCTAAACAGTGCAGGCCACAGAATCTCACCCACCCCCTCCTAGAATAATCCTCTCACCTATATCTCAGATATTGAAGCCTTAGCTTAACGTAAGAAAGAAAAAATTCTTTTCGCAGAATTTTTTTGAGTGTTGCAGATTTCTGCAAACTCATCTAAATGATTTTTTTAAATTTTGTGTTACTAGTGAATACACAATAAATTGTTAAAACTGGAAGAACTTTACCACGAATTCAGTTTAGTTTGTTTGCCTTTTCTATTAGAGTTGGATTCCAGACAAGTATTCTGGGGCTTCTATTCTTTGAGACACACAAGATGAAAGATTCAAAACATAACATTTATCTGTTTTTATTGGTCTGTTTCACTTGCACAACATGGATGCTAAACACTCCCCAGAGAAAGTGTATAAGCCTCAGTGAATGCCTTTTATTCTCCTTTCCAGTCTCAGTAAATTCTATATTAATATCTTCTAGAGTAGGAGGACTATTTCTAGTTGAATCAGATTTGTTTAGCATCTTTAAGTAAAAACATAAAAATATGTACAGCTTTATGGCCATGTCTGATTTATTTATATGACCATTTTCAGTATGTCCCATCCTGGTGTGTTTACTAACATGAGTTATTAGAAAGGACGATAATACATGTACTCCAAGGGTAGTGTTAATTTTCTTTTTATTTCATTTCATATTAAACATTTTAAACATTGCTCCTTGTTAATTATCTCTTATTCTAAGATGAGATAACATGACGTTGGTAACTAATTGACCATTCATTATCAGTGGTAAATAGATCAATGGAGGGATGATAGGAATTACTACAGGCAGTCGCTGACTTACGCGGATCCGACTTATGTCGGATCCGCACTTACAAACGGGGCTTTTCTCACCCCGGAGCTCACGGGCGGCGGATCACCACCCGTGTCCTCCGGAGCGAGAAAAGCTTCTCCCGGTCTCCCTGGTCTGCTGGGGGGGGTCCAGCAAAGCCGCTGGACGCCCCCAGCAGACCAGGGACACCCGAGCAAAGCCGCCCAGGCGACGGGAGTCCCGCTGCCTGGGCGGCTTTGCTCCGGGGCAAACGAGCAAAGCCGCCCAGGCAGCGGGACTCCCCCCGCCTGGGCGGCTTTGCTCGGGTGTCCCTGGTCTGCTGGGGGCGTCCAGCGGCTTTGCTGGACCCCCCCCAGCAGACCAGGGAGACCGGGAGAAGCTTTTCTCGCTCCGGAGGACACGGGTGGTGATCCGCCGCCCGTGAGCTCCGGGGTGAGAAAAGCCCCGTTTGTAAGTGCGGATCCGACATAAGTCGGATCCGCGTAAGTCAGCGACTGCCTGTAGTAATTCCTATCATCCCTCCATTGATCTATTTACCACTGATAATGAATGGTCAATTAGTTACCAACGTCATGTTATCTCATCTTAGAATAAGAGATAATTAACAAGGAGCAATGTTTAAAATGTTTAATATGAAATGAAATAAAAAGAAAATTAACACTACCCTTGGAGTACATGTATTATCGTCCTTTCTAATAACTCATGTTAGTAAACACACCAGGATGGGACATACTGAAAATGGTCATATAAATAAATCAGACATGGCCATAAAGCTGTACATATTTTTATGTTTTTACTTAAAGATGCTAAACAAATCTGATTCAACTAGAAATAGTCCTCCTACTCTAGAAGATATTAATATAGAATTTACTGAGACTGGAAAGGAGAATAAAAGGCATTCACTGAGGCTTATACACTTTCTCTGGGGAGTGTTTAGCATCCATGTTGTGCAAGTGAAACAGACCAATAAAAACAGATAAATGTTATGTTTTGAATCTTTCATCTTGTGTGTCTCAAAGAATAGAAGCCCCAGAATACTTGTCTGGAATCCAACTCTAATAGAAAAGGCAAACAAACTAAACTGAATTCGTGGTAAAGTTCTTCCAGTTTTAACAATTTATTGTGTATTCACTAGTAACACAAAATTTAAAAAAATCATTTAGATGAGTTTGCAGAAATCTGCAACACTCAAAAAAATTCTGCGAAAAGAATTTTTTCTTTCTTACGTTAAGCTATTAACACCAATGTAAACTTTGTTTGAAATGTAATCATGCAAATGTCATGAGGTAGGCCTTTTGCCTCCAGTATTCAAGAGCAGCCTAAAACCTTTTAACCCATCTGAAATTTTGGCACCACCCCAAACATTCTGCCTCAGTTCAAGAGAGTCCTATGTCTGCAACCCAGCTAGAGCTGCTGGGCTGAGATGTGATGCAGCCCAGATGAAAGCAAGTTATGCCAAACTCCCCTCCACCTCCTCACTGCACAGACACCTGCACCCACCTACTTCCTCCACCTCCTCTTCTTCCTCCGACCTACCCCCACGCAATCTGCTCCCCCACAATGCAGCCCAGGAGAGAGTCTTATGTCTGCAAGCCAGCTAGGGCTGCTGTACTGAGACAGGGTCTGACTATTGCTGCCTGCAGCCCAGAGGGGAGCAAGTTAAGACACCCCAAGCACACTCCACTTTTTCCCCACCTCACTGCACAGAAGTCAGCATCCACCTACGTACCCCTTCTTTTCCCTATGTATGCCCGTGCAATCTGCTTAAACTAGCTCCAGCTTGGCTGGGGTAGAAACTTGCCTCTCAGAGTTACAGGCATCAGCAGCTGCATCGCAGGTGGGAGTCAGTACAGGAGAACACACCATAAACAAACTCCCCACCTCCACCTCCCCAACAGTAACACAGTAACCAATCACTCCACCTACCCCAATCATGTATTTTCTCCCTCCCTCTCCTTATATCCCCTTTCCTACCATCATGTTCATTTGTCTGAAGCAGGAAACTTCTAGTGGGGAAAGCTCCTCCCCAGCTAGGAAGCTCTCTGTGTGGCAGCTCTAAGCCTCTGGGAGAGGGGCTCATTAAGTAGCTGTGTTCATTTTCATACAAGGTTGTAACTTTGAAGGAAGCCATTGTATCATATTTGCATACATTAGGGATCTGAACCTTTCATGACTTGATGTATTTGGTTAAAAGAATTGGAAGATTTTGATCCTTGATTTGATAGAAGCTTAAAAATTCTTCATCTCTCTGATTAAAGTTTTCTTTAAAAACCATTGGAGCCCTACACCTTTCTTCAGACACTTGAAAACACAATTCTGTTATAGCCTTAATATGCGCTACAGCAGTAGTAAATATATAATCCACAATAAAAGTAGCAGAGTTAAAAATTCTAGTTTTCACATGAAATTAGTATATTTTTTTTAACGTAGGAAAGCTTGATATGATTGCTCATATCTTTTTTAGTTTTTTAGAAGAACAAATATTCTTAGTGACTTGGAAGAATATCATTCAAAAGAAAAACACTTGCTTTTGTTCTCAAAATAAATCTTACTGATAATAGCCATCTCTCCTTCTTTAAAATAGTTTTTTCTGTGCACGGAATAATTCTGACTAAAAATAACCTTTTGTCACTTGGAACCTTTCAGTGGCAACATCATTAACTTCACTGACTGGAGGGAATTAAGTATTTCAGAGAGAAGGTTAGTTTGAGAGGGTTGTAGGGAAGATCAGTCACCATATATGAATATAGTATGTGACCTAGTTATTGGGATAGTTTACTGTATGGCTTTATTGATACGATTACAGTATGCACATGTCATATTAGTATAATAGTAGGCAGTTGGAAAATAAGCAACATCAATGTAAACTCTTAGAATCATGAAGAGACAACACCTGAGTACTAAGCTGTGAAGTTGCTAATGACAAAACTAAGTAGTTTGAACTAGGTATGAAAATGTAGGCATTCGAAATAGTCAATGAAGCGGGGATTTAAGTATCCCACGCTTTATTAGCACGATCTCGCTGGCATGTTACTCCGATCAACAGCTGTTTTGAAAGTGAAAGTGTGCGCTGGGACGCGTTAGTTCAAACCAAACCCCTTGATTCGAGCTAACGTTACTCCTCAAAAAAGAGACTAAAAGATCAAAAGGACCAGAAAGGTTGTATCTGCACAGCAGCTGAGTGTTATGATTCCCAAAGTGAGTAGACATGCACATTCTAACTCTGCTCATACTTGCACGTTAAAAAGAGCAGCATGGCTCTGGTGCCACCAATAGTGGGTCAGTCTAGGGATGTAATAGCGTAGCTGGTTAAACTGTTAACCCATAAGCGGCTGCTTACTGATTTACGCTATCAGCAACATACAACCCCCTCCTCCCACAGCTCTACATTTAAAGTATTTTGAGAGCTGGTGGGCTGGGTCCTGGCAGCTACCCCTGCTGCTGCTCTACATTTAAAGGACTTTAGGAGCTGGTGGACAGGTATGCTGGCTCCTTTAAACGCAGAGCCACAGCGGCGTAGCTGCTTGGATC